ATGGCGATGTCCATGTGTCGGTGATAAGAGGTATGCTTATTGATCTCGCTTAGCCCACGCTTTGGGTAGGGTCGGGCTGGGCACGCGTGGCTGGCCGGGGGGGGGGGGCGCGTTGGGCGGGCCCTAAGCATACACGACCAGACAGCCGTCTGTCTCGCACGCCGTTCCGAGGGCCGCCGTGTCGGGGGGGGGGGGTCCTTCGGAATCTGACAGGGAGGCCGGCCGCCCCGTTGCCCCCTGGGGCACGAGGAGCAGCCCGCTCGTTCTCCAAGGGAGCCCCGCGCGTCGGGCGATGGCGATGGCGGGGTGGGTTCCGGGCCGGGCACTGGCGCGCGGGGGGTCCCCACAGAGCAGGACCCCGAGGGGTGGGGATGCCCTGCCATGCCAGGTGGAGGCGTGCTGGGGGGGGGTCGGGGCGGGTGGGTTCTGGGCTGCAGAAATGTCGGGTCGGGGGTCCCCAGAACAGGACCTGGAGAGGTGGGGATGCCATGCCGGGTGGAGGCGTGGTAGGTGGTCGGGGCCGGCTCTGGGCCTGAAGTTGTCGGGTGGGGGCTGCCTAGAACAGAACCAAGAGGGGTGGGTATGCCAGGCCAGGTGGAGGCGGAGATTGAGATATTATTGGAGCCCTGTTGTAGGTTCCTTGCGATCTGATGCGCCCGTGCCCGTTCTGAATCGCATTGTGAGATCATCTTGATGCCGTTTAGGAGGAAAGAGGTCCAGTGGATCACCTCGTAATTCATAAGGGGGGGTGCTCTCAGAACCCCCCCCCCCTCCCCTCCTTCAAGGGGGGGAGGACATTTTCGGCCCCTCCCCCCCTCCTTGGCGTTGGAGACGGGGGTGTTTCGTTTGCTGCACTGCAGGATTCGGGTTCGCGCCCGGTTTTAGGGGGCAAGTGCCGCGGGCTCTCAGGGCCTGTGTCCAGGCTTATTCTGGAAGTGTTGCAGTGCAGCATTTTGTTCGCGCCGCCGTCTGGGAAAATTCGTTTCGAGGGATGTTGGGTGTCCGGGTCTAGTGTGTCCAGGTTTACGAGGCCCTGGCGCTGCAGCGGCACGCGACTTAATGTCATGGCATTTGCCGCGTGGCACAGGGCACAGCGCGATGCCCGCCATTCGCGGCGCCCCCGAACCGCGAGCAGGCGGCCCTGCGTTTGATCGATTACATCGACGACATCATTGGCACGGACGTCAAGGCGACGTCTTGCAGGAGGCTGGTATCCCGCGCGAGCAGGCGGCGGGCGTCGCGCTTCACTCTGGAAAGCAAGCCGCGCTGACGTGGGCGGGGGCATCGGGGAGTGTTTGGGAAGCGGACCGCGCGATGCTCGGCCGCGATCGCAGCGCGGGAGTGGGCGAATGCGGTCGGGCATGCGACGTGTCGGAGCTCTCCGCGCCAATCCGCGCCCTCGCCTCCCTGCTGGAAGGCGTCGCAGCGGGGAAGTTCACCCTGGCGCGCCACCAGGGCTGCTGAAGTGGGGCCCGGCGCCACAGCGGCCCGTCTCCCGCAGTGGGCAGCGCGCCCCGACGCCGCCCAGGGCCCGGCCGCCGCTGCCGGCGATGGCCCGCCAGCAGCCCCGCCGCAGCAGCGACGAGTCCGCCGGGGAGCAGAGGCCCCAGCCGCCGCAGCGGAGGTCAGCCCCGCCGACCCAGGGGCCGCGCCGAGCCCGAGGGCGAGAGCGCCCAGCGAAGACCAGTTCGCGGATGTTGCCTGGGAGTCGCAGCTCGGGTTCCTCGCTGGAGACGAGCCCAAGCACGCGTTCGCCCAGGCGGTGACGACGGCTCCCGCGGGGGATCCCAAGAGGAGGCGCGCAGCCCGCCTGAGGCTCCAGTCGCCCCATGGCGTCGCGACAACCACGTGCGACGACGCCCTGCGGAGCGCCGCGCGGGCGCAGGCCTCCTCCGTGGCGACCTCGTCACCTTCCAAGTATGCAGGGCGAGCGTGGCCAACGGGCGTGAGGGGGCGCCTGGCGTCGTCGCTCCCAGCGCGGGGCAGAGCGTGCCGGCTCTACCCAGCGGGTCGGGCGGCGGACCTTGGGCCGCGCGAGAAGCCATGGAGCGGCGAGAAGAACATGCGGGGGCCACAGTTGTAAAGTTGTGGCGAGGCCGAGGGTGGCGCGCCCCCGTCGTCGGCCTGCGCCCCCTAAGCCTTTCGCGACGGCGCCGCGGTGGCGCGGCGGCTGGTTCGCCGCCCGCCCTGGGCGGGCAGCGAATCGGCTGCCCGTCGTCGGCTGGGCCCGGAGGCGGAGGGGCGCCGCGCGGAGAAGCCCGCGCAGCCAAGAGGGGGGGGAGTTTCCTGTTGCCTCCCTGGTAAATGACGGCCGGCTGGGAAGGCCGCGCCGGCGCCCCCGCCGGCCCATTCCTGGTCGCGCGCGCTGGTGGGCCGGCACCGTGCGGGGCGACGGGGCCGCGTGGCGCAGCTTGCCACGCTGCGCGGGGCGCGCCGCCGCGTCCCCGGCTACTCGGCGCAGGCGTCTTGGCCGCGAAGCGGCTGGCTGGCCGCCTGCGCTCGCGTCGCGGGCGGTCTGCCAGGTGCCCGCCGTCGACTGGGCCTGGGGGATGGCGGGGCGTGCGCGCGGGGCGCTGGCCCGCAGCCAGAGTCGAGCACGCCCTCTCTGCTCGCCCTCTCTGCTTCGCTCGCTGCGGCGTCGTGCTCCGGGCCTGCCCTTCCCTGGCCACTCGGCCGCGGCGCGTCTGCGGCGCGGCGGTTGGTCGGCCGCCCGCGCGCGAGGGTTGCCGATCGGCCCGCCGCCGGAGTGGCCAGGGAAGCCGCACGGCGCCGGGCGCCGCTGCACCTCCGTCGCTGCGCTAGCGTAAGACCCTTGCGGCTGGTCCAGTAACAAGAGAATGCCATTTCCCGCTGCCCCCTGAGCCAGCGCTGGGCAAGTGCAGGCAGGCCGCGCGCGTGCACCCGCCGCCCCGTCCTCGCTGCGCGCGCCGGCTGGCCGGCGCTGGTGGGGCGGCGGGCGCTCGCCGCCATGGGCGTCGCATCGCGCCCGTGAGCGGCCTTTCCTCCGTCGCGTGCCCGCGCTGCTTGGGCCCGCCACTCCCCTGCCGGCGTCTCTCCCGCGCAGCAGGCGCGTGGTCCGCCCTCCGCCTCTCGCCGGCGGCGAGCCGGCTGCCCGCCGCCGGCGCGGCCCCGGAGCCGCGGAGGCACCGCGCTGGGAAGCGCCGCTCGCGCACCCGCGCAAGGCTGCATACCCTGACCTTCCAGGAGGGCTAAAAAGTAGCACCCGACTTAAAAACTTATCCCAAAGCTATTCTACGTCTTGGATTCAGGCTGTTTCGCTCTGTTTTTTCCCTACCTGGGCTCTGCCTAGAAGGGTTCTTGCTCTCTAGCTTAAAGGGGCTGGGCAGTGGAAAGCGCCCCAGGCGGTTCCCCCAGTCCCCGCCCCGCGGTTCCCCCAGTCGCGCCCCCTTAGCTTGGCTTAGCTTATCTCGTCTTAGCTGCGCTTGGCTTAGCTTAGCTTGGCTTAGCTTAGCTTTAGCTTAGCTTTAGCTTAGCTTTAGCTTAGCTTTAGCTTAGCTTTAGCTTAACTTTAGCCTAGCTTTAGCTGAGCTTTAGCTAAGCTTTAGCTAAGCTTTAGCTAAGCTTTAGCTAAACTTTAGCATAGCTTTAGCTTAGCTTCAGCTGAGCTTTAGTTTAGCTTTAGCTCAACTTTATCTTAGCTTTAGCTTAGCTTTAGCTTAGCTTCAGCTTAGCTTTAGCTTAGCTTCAGCTTAGCTTTAGCTTAGTTTTAACTTAACTATAGCTTGACTTTAGCTTAGCTTTAGCTTAGCTTGAGCTTAGCCTTAGCTTAGCTCTAGCTTTGCTTTAGGTAAGCTTTAGCTAAGCTTTAGCTAAACTTTAGCTTAGCTTTAGCTTAGCTTTAGCTTAGCTTTACTCTTACTACTAATGCTGCTTTCCTAGGGGCTCCAACTCCTAGGTAGGGTCGCACTGGGATTATTAGGTTTTTAGGTCTCCAGTGCTAAAAAATAGCTCTCTGGAAGGTCAGGGTACAGGAGTTTTCCCGGAGCCGCCGTCTGAAGCGCGGGTGCGACGGAGGCCCGCGCCCGAGCGCCCGCCGCCCCCGTGCCAGGCGCTTAGTCGCAGGCCTGGAGACCGACACCCACACCAGTGTCGGCGGTGTGCTTCCACCGAGGGAAGAAGATCCCGATCCCGGCGATGGTTGCAATATTCTAGCTTCCAAGGTGGTCGAAATATTACCACCAACACCGCAATCCAGGATCGTCTTCCCCCTGTGGAGGCAACGCCCTGTGTTGGTGTTGGTGCCCATTTCCAGGCCTCCAACTTAAGCATGGTTGAAAATTGACCTGGTCAGTCTGACGCTCTTCGGGGCCGATATTTGGGCCGAACCAGACAGGCGCGAGAAGGTGTCGCTGTCAGGTCTGACCGATTCGTGCTTCCACGCAGTCCATCCAGAAATGATGCCCGTGCGAGTCGAGATGGCCCTGGGCAAAGTACAGTACAGGAGCAAACGGGGGGGCAGTTTGACAATCTTGAACGCCACCTCGAACCATCTTATGCCATCTTGTACTTCCCGATGCCATTTTGGAGCTATCATGGTCCATTTTGGACACACTAGCAACCCGCCCCCCCTCCCAGAGCCAGGGGAAGAGGTCGGATCTATGGAGAGAGTACTACAAGACATTGTCAACAATCACAGTGTATGCAATAGTCTACGACTCAATAAATACAAATGCATATGCAACTCTGGATTCACTTATTCGTACTGTTATACACTAGCAAGGATCCACTATCGCACCCATCACTATCACCACTCCCGAACGCTATTTGCCCAGGGGCCGCGGATCACGGCGTTCTTGACGAGTTGTCTCAAAATCTTGTCGCGTGTGAATGTGACGGAACGTTTTAGTTAGGACATTGAACATGCCAGTGCGTTTGTGCTTGGAAGGTGTTTGGGGGCGCTGAATCATGCATGGGTCCTGGAGAGTGCTGACCAGGCGCTAAGGACGGAAGAGCAAAAGACGGATATCAGGGAATGGCAGGTGCAGCTCGGGTTGCTCTTCGTCTCCTGGTCGCTGGGTCTGCTCTTTTTTCGCGCCGCCAGGATGGCACGTGTGCTTGCTTTGCTAATATTTGTCGGTCTCGTGCTTCGAGTCCCTCTCTCTCTCTCTCTTTCTCTTTCTCTCTTCAGATTCGTCCCTCTCTGGTCCATCGAGTACGGCCTTGGTCCATATAGCCTCAACCCGCATGCTCCAGCATGCCCATTTTTCCAGTATATTCTCACATCGTCTCGTTTCAGGGTGGTCAGCTCAATGCCATGTGTCTCGCATCATGTCACGCAGTCTCGTAGCATCAGCCCTTGTGCAAATGTATTCTGGCACGGCGTATACCATTCTGTGTAGTAGCAGACCATCGCACGCCTCTCTATCCCATATTGGTTTTCGTGAGGGGTGCTGGCAGACAGTGCGCTGGCATATGATGCCGCTTTTTGTCGTGCAATGGACAATGACATGATGTTATATCATGCTGCGTTGTCCCATCTAAGCACAGAATATAGTATCCTACCTCGTTATGTCTTCCCTTGTGCCGTGTATCGTCTCGTTCCGTTTCATCATATCTCGTCATGGCCAGCGTGTTCCCGCATAGTATCACACTATAGTTCCAGTCGTCGCCTCCTTTTCACTTCAGATTTGCAATGTTTTCACGTCGGCTTTGTGCACAACGCGTTGCAGGATTATCCACCAGTTTGCAAGGATCGCAGCACGTTGGCCCGCTTCGCAACCGCTCCTTGTTCAAAGTGGGCACAGCAAAGCATACCTCAGTATTCTAAACTTTGCCCATTCAGTAAGGCTGCCAAGGCTCTGACGAAGAGCGTGTATTTCCGGACATGGCGTCAGTCCTGGGTTCTCTATTAGTTCTGTGTTGCATGTGTCTGGACCGAAGGGGGCCAGTGGAGTTGCTCTCGGTGCACAGTAGATTACAATTTCCAGTCGCAGATGTGCATCTCGTGCGTGCCCTCTCGAGGAAAATGCCCCCCCCCCACCCCCCCTCGCGTCGGATGCTTAATGAACGACTGGGTCCGCATGCCTCCGTCTTCCTGGTTTCAGAAAGCAGGCGGCGCGTTTTGCACAGAAACCTTGACGCATCACGGGGGCTGGAGGCTGGGGAATATCTAGACCTGTGCGCACTCTTGTTTTTGCACGTGCCCGCTCGAGGATGGCGCGCCCTCGCGCAGAACCCCTGGCAAGTCACGTGATCCCCGGCCCGGTCGGGCCTTGAGGAGGAGGAGGAGGAGGAGGAGGAGGAGGAGCAGGAGGAGGAGGAGCAGGAGGAGGAGCAGGAGGAGGAGCATGAGGTGGAGGAGGAGGAGGAGGAGCCGGAGGAGGGGGAGGAGGAGGAGGAGGAGGAGGAGGAGGAGGAGGAGGAGGAGGGAGGAGGAGGAGGAGGAGGGGGGGAGGAGGAGGAGCCCCCTGGCGTGTAGGTCCTCCTCCTCCTCCTCCTCCTCCTCCTCCTCGGAACCTCCAGCCTGAATATAGGATGCCAGGGGGAGCTGACCCCAGGCAGGACTCCCGCCACAGCGAAGCTGTGGGCCTGCATCCATCTTCTGCGAAGCTCCATGGTTTCGGTATCGTTTAACCAATCCCCATCCCCATCCCCATCGTATTCGAGACACCCATCGAATTACCACCCCAGTTGGGGACGCACCCCTCGAAGCCCGAAGGGAACGGCTTATATCCCCATCCAGGGGGGTAAATCGGCCAGTGGGGCTCAGGCCACGCCGCTGGGGATGGGGATCGGTTGAATGATACTCATGGTTCAAGCTGCTGCTAAGGGCTGCTGCCTCTTGCATGCACGGCGGTGTGGGAGCAGGCTGATGCCCAGGATCCTGCCAGGGCCTGGGTACATGGAATGGGGTTCTGGGGAGGCGAGGACCTGGAGGACCCTGGTCCTACCCACCCGAATATGCACTTTGGACTCCTCCATCTTTTGTTCGCTTCCCCCCTCTCTCTCTTTCTCTTTCTCTCTGTCTCTCTCTCTCTCTCTCTCTATCTGTGCATCTCCGTATCTCTCTCTCTCTCTCTTTCTCTCTCTCTCTCTCTCTCCCTCCCTCTTGGTTTCTCCCTCTCTCTCTCCCGTGGTGGGCCTGGGCTGTCTCGGCTGCGTGCCCTGCGCTTGCCGACCCGTCCTGTGGCCACGGCGAGGAGGGAGGGGGGCGAGGCAGGAGGGAGGGAGCAAGGGAGGAGGGGGAGGCAGAGGAGGGGAGGAGGGAGGGGGGAAAGGAGGAGGAGGGAGGGAGGAGGGGCGGGAGGCAGGAGGGAGGCAAGGAAGGGAGGAGGAGGAGGGGAGGGAGGGGAGGGAGGAGGGGAGGGAGGAGGGGGGGAAGGCAGGGCGAGGAGGAGGAGGATCCACGGAAAGCGGAGGGCGGGGGGTGCCGCGAAGAGCCTGCTGTCCACGCGACGTCCCCAGCCGAGCGTACGCCTCCGGGGACCCGCGCCGCTACCACCTGCTGCACTCGCTGCGCCTGCCTCGGATAGCGACCTTGCGGCCGCGGGATTCGGCCTCGCTCGAGCTCCTACGTCCCGTCGTCCCCTCCCCTCCCCTCCCCTCCCTCCCCTCCCCTCCCCTCCCCCTCCCCTCCCTCCCCCTCCACCCCCCCATTCCCCATATCGTCTCCTCGTCCCCCTTTCTTCTCCCCCTCTCCCTGCTCCCTCCCCTCCCCATCCCCTCCCTCCCGCATTCCGCCTTTCTGCCTCTGTTCTCTCCCTCTTCTCCCTTCTGGGAAATCAAGGGGAGGTTGGCGCTGACGGTTCTGGATCGATTTGGGTCGTCCGTGGCCGCTCGATGGCCAGCGGTGTTTTCCATTTTGGCAGGGGCGTGAACCAGCATCGCCACCGTCAAGCAACAGTGCGATCCCAAGGTAGGGACTTGGGAACGAGTGTCCCAACTTGTGTGTGCATGAAATGAACGGTCTGGCCTACGACGAATGTGATGATGATGCTGATGCTGATGCTGATGATGATTATGATGCTGATGCGAATGATGATGCTGGTGCTGATGCTGATGCTGATGGTGATGGTGATGTTGTCGACGATGCTGCTGCTGCTGCTGATGATGATGATGATCATGATGCTGCTGTCGATGATGATGATGCCGACGAGGATGATGATGATGATGAGTCTCATGATTATGATGCTGATGATCATGATGGTGATGATGATTATGATGATGCTGATCATGACGATGGTGACGATGGTGATGGAGATGGTGATGTTGATGGTGATGGTGATGGTGATGATGTCGGTGACGATGACGACGATGATGACGATGTTGATGCTGATGCTGCTGATGTCGATGCTTAGGATTATGCTGCTGATGAGGAAGACGATGATGATGATGATGCTGCTGCTGCCGATGATAATGATGATGATGATGCTGCTGTCGATGATAGTGATGATGGTGATGGTTATGATGCAGATGATGGTGATGATGATGCTGCTGATGATAATGATGATTATGATGATGTTGTCAATGATGATGATGATGATGATGATGATGATGATGATGATGATGATGATGATGATGATGATGATGATGATGATGCTGATCGTGGTGGTGGTGATGGTGATTATAATGCTGATGGTGGTGGTGGTGGTGGTGGTGTGGCGGTGGTAGTGGTGGCAGTTGTGTTGATGACGATGATGGTGATGATGGTGGTGGTGCTGATGATGCTGATGATGAGGATGATGTGAACGTGTGTGCGTTTGACAATGGGAAAGGGGGGAGCGATTTGGGGGAGGCGGTGAGAGACGGGGATGAAGGTCCATTATTTTCTGCCCGCCTTGGTCATCTGCTGCTTTGCTACGCCTTCCCAACTGTCGCCGACCAGTCAGTTTCCAATGTTTTCGCGGCGCCTTCGCCTGCGGCTGTCAGGCTGGCACACCCCAATATTCTATCGCCCCTGGAATCGTTCAAGGCTGCGCCCTCCCAAGGACAATCTTCGCCTGGCGCCTCACACTTGTGCTTCGTCACATCCAGAGCGTGGTGGACAGCATTGGAGTGGCCTGCACGAGGGCATGCGTGGACGACTTCGGAATTAATTCTTGATGCTTCGCGTACCCCCACCAGCCCATCTGAAAACAGTCGCCAGGGTAGGAGGGGGTCTGGAGGGTGTGTGCAGGGAGGTGTGGACTGGGGGTCGGAGGGAAAGGGGTAACGGGGTGATGGAGCCCTCTTGGAGGCGTTGGGTGCTTTGTTGTGGCCACCCCGGATGCCATCGGTTGAACAAGGGGGCGGCGCGCATTTGCGCCCGTAGTTGTGCCCGCACTTGGGGTCCTCTTGGGCCGCATTTGTGGCGCTCTTTGGCTTCCTTGGGTCGTCTTGGGTCGTCTTGGGGCCCTCTTGGGCCACCCTTGGAGCTCTCTTGAGCCATCTTGGAGCCATCTTGAGACCCCCAAAACCGATCGGAAGAGAAACGGCGAGAATGTGAAAACAATTGATCCCCCTCAGGTTTTTGAAGAATTTCGGCCTCTCGGAAGGCTTGGAGCCGTCCTGGAGCCTTGGAGGCTCTTCCAGGCATGCTGGAGACCATCTTGAGCCATTATAGTGGGGGCGCGCATCAAGAAACCATAGGATTTTCGTCAGGGTATCCTGGGTTTCTTCGCTCCGCGCGCTGCGCGGTGACTTCTCGCAGCCGTTGAAGAATCTGCTGCGTTCAGGGCTCTCCGGGTTTCCCCTCGGATGCACTTCGCGCGTGGGTTTTCAGGGCTGGGTTTCTTGCGAGGGTTTCTTGCGGCCGCGCCCGCACTGTATTCGTCCTCAGCGATCTTGAAGGCCATCTTGGGCTATCTGGGAGCCATCTTGGACTAACGCCCCCTCCAGACCCAGGACGGGGGGTACGGCAGAGGGAAACCATTAGTGAACACCCCCCCTTCCCCCCAAGCTCAAAGTTGGCACGCGCGGGGGAGACTGCGGTCGAGGTGCAACTCATCAGACCCACCGCCAGCTTTGACCACTGGGGGAAGGGGGAGGCGTTCACAGATGAATGTGGCATGTGTGTTCGCTACTTTTTGTTCCGAGGCCTGTGTGGGGAGGGGGCCCCGCTCCCCGCACGGGAAGGAGAGGCTCAGCGGAGCGAGCTCCTTCAACCATCCACGCCCAGAGGAGGAGGAGGAGGAGGAGGAGGAGGAGGAGGAGGAGGAGGAGGAGGAGGAGGAGGATGGGCTGGTGGGATGAACCTTTGTGTTGCTCACGCCGTCTTCGAGCATCCCCCAGTGTTCGAACGCGTGCAGCGGATCGCCACCCTCGTGCCGCGCCCGAACGAGCTGCATCGCCGTCCTCGCCGGCGGGCCCTTCGGCCACGCCGTGGCGCAGTCCTGCTCCGACTCGCCAGCACTTCCTGGGAGGGGGGGGGGCGGCGGGGTGAGAAAGCCAGGGCTTCGGACCCTGACCTTCCAGAGACATTTTTTAGCACTGGAGGCCAAAAAACTTGAAAAACGAAGCGAAACAGCCTAAAACCAAGACGTAGAATAGCTCTAGGATAGGATTTTAGGTCGGGTGCTATTTTTTAGCCCTCCAGGAAGGTCCGGGGAGGCGGAGGGAGGGAGGGAGGGAGCGAGCGATCGAGCGAGGGAGCCAGCGAGCGAAGCAGGGGCGGCGCACGCGACGGGGGCGCGCGTGCCCGCGGGCGGCCTCCCCTTCGAGGGGGAGGGGGCCGCGCGGGGCTATGGCAACCGAGGTGGCACGTGGCGCTGCCGCTGGGAGGCGCCGCGCTATCGCCGCGCCTCGGCGCCTCGCTGCCCCGGCCCGGGCCTGCCCCGCGTGGCCGCCTCTGCCCCTGCTCGGCGACTTCGGGGGCGGCAGCGAGGGGGGTGATGACTAGGGGGGGGGGGATATCAGGGCCCCGAAGTCGCCGAGCAGGGCCCTGACCTTCCAGAGAGCTATTTTTTAGCACTGGAGGCGTAAAAGCGTAAAAAGCGGAGCGAAAATCCGTCTAAAGCCAAGATTCAAGACGCAGAACAGCTTTGGGATAGGTTTTTAGGTCGGGTGCTATGGGCGGAAAAGAGGGGGGTGATGACTAGGGGGGGTGGATATCGTGGCGGGGGCCATGCTATCTCCCCAGATTTCATGGCGCCTCTTCTTGTTTCATTGCGTCCCTGGCACCCCCGCTGGGCCGCGCACATGCCGCCGGTCATGATTTGCACCCCGCCCTCTTGGACACCCCCCTCTTGGCCGCTCCCGACGACTGCAGGGGGTGTGGTCACGCCAGGGGCGTGGTTTGCGACCGGCGCCGCCGGGGCCTGGCTGGCACGGCACGGACCTCCTCTGGGCTCCTCGGGGCGCGGCGGAGGAAACCTCTATCGAGGTCCCCGCCTGCCCCGCAGCGAGCCCCCCACGGTGCCAGGTGCGAAGCACGCCCTCTGCATCAGCGACACCGCAATGGGTATTCACTTGTTGGCATGTTGGAAAACTGCCGAGCGTTGCCACTCCAGGGCCTCTTTCGGGCACTGCAGCGTTGCCCACGTCGGGGAGGATTGGGCCCGCCGAGCCACTGGCCAAGGTTTAAGTCGGGCCTGTCCCTCTACAGGGGGAATATTCAAAAATAGTTTTTAACAAATGTCTGGGGACTATTTTTGGAGTATTGTTTGACCATTTTGGAATATATATATATATATATATATATATATATATATATATATGTATATATGTATATATATATATATATATATATATATTGAGTATTTTTAGATTTTCGTCGAAAATTCCCCTGTAGGGGGACACGCCCGACTGAAGCCAAGGTGCCCGATGGTGGGGCCCCCGTTGGATGGGGCGCTGATTGCAGGCCACACCCCCCGGAGCCGCTGCCTCGTGCCCTCCTCGCTCGAACCCCGGCCGCCTGCCCTGCCCTCCGCCGCCCCGTGCCCGCCCCGTGGCGCGCCTCGCCGCCCTGCCGCGCGCGGTGGCCCCGCGCGGTGAAAACCAAACCGGCGTCGAATGAGATCTCGAGGCTGTTCGCTGAGCGTGTATCCTCACGATATCTGGCGAGGGCCCCATGTTGCCAAGCATGGTCACGGCGGGCGTGAAATGAGGTCTCGAGGCTGTTCGCTGAACATGTATCCTCACGACCCTGAGATCCTACGGTGCGAGCAAATGCATCAATCTGACTGGGGAAGGGCTGAAACCGTGCCCTGCCGCGCGCGGTGGCTCCGCGCGGTCAAAGCCAAGCTGAACTTCAGTCGGGCCTGTCCCTCTACAGGGGGGATATGCAAAAATAGTCAAAAAATAGTCTGGGGACTCTTGTTTTTGAATATTTTTGGGCATCTTTTGAGCATTTTTTTGCATCTATTTTTTAACTCTCGTCCAAAATCCCCCTGAAGGGGGACAGGCCCGACCGAAAGCTGAACGGTATCGTGGGCGGTCCTCGGCAGCGTGGCGAAGGCACGTCGCGCGGTGACGTCGACGCTGGCTGCTGGCACCGCAAATCGTTCCACGTCGGCCGGTTCTGGGCCACCGGCGCCGTTCCACACTGAGCAATCGCGCTGGGGTCGCCGCCGCGCCAGCGCGGCCCGAGCCGACCGTGCGCGCGGACGTGCGCGTTCAGCGGCACGCTGAACGCTGATCTTTCTCTCTCCGCGGACGCGTGTCGCAGCCGACCTCAAGTGGAGCTGTGCGTAGTCCGCCTAGCTTTTGCCGGAAGAGGTTCGCTCTCGCCCCGCAGACCAAGAGAGCGTGTCGCAGCCGACCGGGGACTGCACATGGGGAAACCAAGAGGTGCCGATGCCGCTACTCTCCCCGGACCTCTCCCGCAGCGCGCGCCCTGACCAGGATGTCGAGGCGGACCCAGCGCTGGCGACGAGGGCATCCCAGGAGGCTCAAAAATGGGGGAACGGGCGCAGGGTAGCGGTATGGGTACTCTGGGTTTCTCGATAAGTGTGGGGGGATACCCCCCCGACGGGGGTCAACCTCGCCTCGTCGTCGCGCCGCGACAGCGGGGTCGGAGCGCCTTTGGCGCGCGGTGGACGCCCGCGACGGGGGTCGATGTGGGGCTGTCGGCGGGGTGACGCCCCCCCCCCCCCACCCCCGACGCTTACTAAGAAACTCGGAGTACCTCTTCCTCTGACCATCTTGCTATGCGAGTGGAGCGTGGGGGAGGGGGGGAGGGATGGGGTGGCAGATGCGGCGCGAGCGCACCTAGCTTGCCCGCGCTTCCCTTTCTCTGCGGCCGGGATGCCTGGTAACGGAAAGTCGCAAGACAACATTATTCAGAATTTCGCCAGCGAGATGTATCGACCGACGAACAGACGTACCTTTGGGCTGTCACATTTCCCTTGGGTCGCCTCCCATTATTGAGGTGCCAGGGCGCTCGCCCAGGCGGCCGTTGACAAAAAGACAGCAACGCAGCGTCGGGGTGGAGATTTCTCACGTGCCGCCCCACATTGTTTTTAACGGGTGAACGTCTTAATTATCGTGCCACGTTTTATTAGTTTTTTGTGTGGCATGTTGCATGTTGTTTGTCTTTTTTGTGCCACACACTGTTTGTCTTTTCGCGTCGCAGATTATCGGGTGTCCTCCGCGCAGTTCAGGTGCGCGTGCCACCGCGAGTGTTTGCGACGCAAGTTATCTGTGAGGGCTTCGCCCCCTGCCGCCGGCCCCGTCTCTCGGATGATGGGCAATGCAAGAGCGAAATCATGAGGCCTTGGCGCCGCTGTGAAGCAGCGTCGGGACTTCACGCGAAGACGAGTAATCGGCAAGACAAATTGATATTCTGATGATATTGTTGAATTCGGTGTTGTGTTTCGAGGGTTTGTGGCTTCGGATACGCGAATAGCGCGTAATTTTCGAGGGTGTATGGCTTCGGGTACGCAACTACAGTTTAATTTACGCAGGTTTATGGCTTCGGAGACGCGGATATGCATACTTTATGAAGGCGTACGGCTTCGGACACGCGACCATTGCATAAGTTACAAGGGTTTATGGCATCGGGGTCGCAAAGGTTGCGTCATTTACGCAGGTGTATGGTTTCGGAGACGCGACTACGGTATAATCTACGACGGTTTATGGCCTCGGGGGCGCGAATATTGAGTGATTTACGAGCGTTTGTGGCCTCGGGGACGCAGCCATTGTGTAATTTACAAAGGTTTATGGCTTCGGGGACACGACTATGGCGTATTTTGTAATTATGGTTTCGGGGAGCGAATATAGTGTAGTTTACAAAGGTTTATGGCATCGGGGACGCGAATATGGTGTAATCTACGAGGGTTTATGGCCTCGGGGGCGCGACTTTCATATATATTTTTACGTGTCCCACGCCCCCCCAGGAATTCAGACAACGCGATTCGGGTGTGGTAACTCGGTTCCTTCTCGGCTCCCTCCCCCTCGCGCGGTCCATCAACAAGGAACAGTTAGCAGCAAGAAGCAGAATTGTAACAGTGGAAACTGGAAACTGGAACTGGTGCAGGTAACAGCAAACCTTGGTCCTACAGCCTGGTGGCCCCACAAGGGGGCCTGCGGATTGAATCGCTTCGCTCATTCCGCCGGCCCTCATTGTCGCACCTCTGTCGAGCTGGGTTGTCTTCCTGAGGGGGTCGCAGTGACTGTGGATTTGGTTTCGGGGGTTCGTCGCAGATTCTGGCGGTGTTGTCCTGGGGCCATCGTGGGTGATCACGGGTCTGGTGGGTGATTTATTTGCTTGTGTCGGTGAGGGGTTGATGATTTTGGATGGTCGCTGTGGCGCCTCTTGGGGCCCTCTTGAAGCGCTCTTGGGAGCCTTGGGAGCGCTCTTGGAGCCCTCTTGGGCCATCTTGGAGCCATCTTGAAGCCCTGGATGGCCATTGGAAGCGAAAAGGCGATAAAGCCAAAAACATAGATTTTCCTAAGGTTTTTGAAGGGTGTTGGCCTCTTCGGGTCCTCCTGGGGGAGCTTTTTGGTCACTTGGAGCCGTCTTGGAGCGGTCTTAGGGCCTCTTGGAGCATCGTAGGAGCCATCTTGAAGCATCTTGGGATGTCTTGAGCCATCTTGGAGGTCATCTCGGGCTCTCCCAGGCGCTCTCGGAGTCATTTTAAACAGTGCCCCCCCCTCCAAGGAGGCCAACATGCGGCCAAAACCTGAACATGAAGGGCCCTTTAGGGAGGGAGCTCCTGCCTGAGTCTTCCGCACTATTCACTCACAGACGAGGCTCCCGCCTGATACTTCCTCCATATTCAGGCCTGAGGAGCCCAACAGTGACGACGGTTACAGGATGCCGATGACCGGCCTCGGATTCAAACATGAAGTGCGGTCCCCATAAGGAGGAGGCTCCCACCTGAGATTTCCTTGCAATTCACTCACAGACGAGGCTCCCGCTTGAGACATCCTCCATTGTCATGCCAAGGGGTGAGTGATGACGAAATGATGAGTGAGTGAATGATGATGGTGAGTGGGTGAATGAGTGAGTGAGTGATGATGATTATGGTGACGATGAGAAGTGAGCGTGTGAGTGTGTGATTGAGTGAGTGTGAGTGTAAGTGAGTGTGTGATTGATGAAGATGATGATAACGAATATGATGATGATGCTGCTGCTGATGATGATGATGATGACGATTGTGAGAATGATGGTTATGATGATGCTGATGATGATGATGCTGATGATGCTGATGATGCTGATGATGATGATGATGATGATGATGATGATGATGATGATGATGATGATGACGAGTGAGTGAAGGAGTGAGTGAGAGTGAGTGATGACGAGGGAGAGAAAGGGTGAGTGAGGACTGCGCGGGGTGTCCAGAGAAAACAAGAGCCCCACTCAGGATGTGGGGAACAAGGACCCCACTTAGGATGCGGGGAAAAACCAGAGCTGAGTGGATGTTTCTCGAGGCATCTTCGGGGGAGAGCCCACAGGCCTCGACAGATGAACGCTTTGGCCGTGGCCGTGGTCGACTCGGTCGTCCTGGACGCCCACGTCGACCACAGCCAGTGCTGGGCTGGTTCCGGTGTTCTGACGCTTGCCCGCATGCGCAAGACATCCCCGAGGGCGTGTCTTCGGTGTGGTTGTGGTCGCTTGCTGTCCCCGTATTCCTTCCTACCCATCTCCTTTCCCCTGGCTCTCCGCACCTCGCCATTCCTGGCTTCTGCGGAGCGCGCAACGGCCGCCGCTCTGCTGCGCCTCTGGGGGTGGTGGTGGGTCAGCGGGGTCCTCATCCCCATCCCCATCCCCAGCGGCGTGGCCTGGGCCCCACTGGCCGATTTACCCCCCTAGATGGGGATATAGGTCGTTCTCTTCGGGTTTCGAGGGGTGTATCCCCAACTGGAGTGGTCATGTGATGTGGGCCTCGAAGGCGATGGAGATGGGGATGGGGATCGGATAAACGATACCGAGGGGTCGCGTAATATACGCAGGCCTGAGCGGGACCTCTCCCTTCCTGGCTGCTGCCAGGCTCGCAGCTGCCGCCGCCGCAGCCGATGCGTCAAGAGCAGCTGCCCACCCTGCTCCCTCTCCGCCGCCTCTCCTGCCTCTGCGCGGCCCGCCCCGCTCTCTCGCCCGGGCCCCTCTTTGGGGCTGCCGCGGCGCCTCCCCCCCCACACTTTTTTACTTAACAGCTTTTGCTGATAGGTTTCTAGTGGTCTCAAAAGAGAGCATCATGACTCCTCAGGGGGGTCGGGGCGGGACCCGGGGCGGCTGCCGTCGAAGCCCAAATCGCCTGGGACATCCTCGCAAAATCGCTCTTGGCGCTGCTAGAACTCCATTCCCGGCGTACATTTTGGATGCCCGGAGCCAACTGTAGGCCACTTCGTGGTCTTCGAGTTCCCAGAACTCCATTCCCGGCGTACATTTTGGATGCCCGGAGCCAACTGTAGGCCACTTCGTGGTCTTCGAGTTCCCAGAACTCCATTCCCGGGCCACATTTTGGATTTTGCCCGGAGCCAACTGTAGGCCACTTCGTGGTCTTCGAGTTTCCAGAACTCCATTCCCGGGCCACATTTTGGATGCCCGGAGCCAACTGTAGGCCACTTCGTGTCTTCGAGTTCCCAGAACTCCATTCCCGGGCCACATTTTGAATGCCCGGAGCCAACTGTAGGCCACTTCGTGCTCTTCCACTTCCCAGAACTCCACTCCTGGGCATGATTTTGAATGCCCGGAGCCAACTGTAGGCCACTTCGTGTTCTTCTAGTTCCCAGAACTGGGCTGAACTGACTGCTGAGGCAGGCTGAGGCTGCGGCCGAGGCAGGCTGAGGCTGAGGCTGAGGCTGAGGCCGAGGCTGAAGGCAGACTGAGGCTGAGGCTGAGGCAGGCTGAGGCTGAGGCTGAGGCTGAGGCTGAGGCTGAGGCTGAGGCTGAGGCTGAGGCTGAGGCTGAGGCTGAGGCAGGCTGAGGCTGAGGCTGAGGCTGAGGCTGAGGCTGAAGGCTGAGAGGCTGAGGCTGAATGAGGCTGAGGCTGGCAGGCTGAGGCTGAGGCTGAGGCTGAGGCTGAGGCCTGAGGCTGAGGCTGATGCGCTGTTAGGTTGCTTTGCCGGGATAATTCTTTTTTGTTTTCCAGCGGGTGCTGCCCCGCCTCTTCGTTTGTCCAGCGTGCAATTCGAATATGATCGCCACCCTCCTTCCCCATCCTGCCTCGTTCGTTGTCGTCCTCTTCCTCCGTCCACCGTGCCAATGTTGCTGTCGCGTTAGCTTTGCTGCCCCGCCCCGGGGCCCGCCGCGGCCCCTCCCGCCGCGTCCTCCCGGGACCCGCCCCGCCTCCCCCCCCGAAAGCGGCCCTCCGCCTCCCCTCGCCCGCGGCGCGGGCCTCGCCCGCCTCGGGCGGGCCTCGGGCGCGCGGCGCGGGCCTCGGGCGCGGCGTGGGGGCCTCGGGCGCGATCGCGGGCCTCGGGCGCGATGCGCGCCTCGGGCGGAGCGAACGCGGCCCACCGTGGCCTGGCTGTCGGGGGCGCGCGGCAGAGCGCGGTTCGGGGTCGCCGCGACCCGCGGCCCATCGTGCCCTCGTGGCCCCTCGAGGCTTCGCTGTCGGCGGTCGGAGGATGCGCAGGATTCGCCGCTTGCCTCGCGGCCCACGGGGGCTTTGTTTGTTGGGGCGTGCGCGGGTTGAGAGAATCCGACTCGGTCCCCCTTCCCCCAGTCCTTCAGTCCGCTGTTGGGGGTCTCTCTGCAGGGTGTGGTCGCCTCAGCCCGGCGCTATGCCAGATGTGCACTCTACGGCCAGGGCGCTCCTGAGATCATTGTCGCTGCACGGCCTTCGCCGAGAGTGGGCGTTGCCATCACATCAGAGCCAGGAGCTGGAAGCGGAGAGACAGGGTGGTGGGAACCAGCTTCTTGTCTTGCAGCGCTGCTCTTGTTGGCCCCACGCCCGGAGGCTTCCTCTGGATCGAGTACACCCGCGGCGCACTCTCGTGGTCTCAGCCTCAGCGGAGGCCAGCTCGATCGGCCTGGGAGCCGCACCGCCTAACCGCAGGCATTACCGGTTGCGATCGGGGGCAGGAGCTGCGGAGACGGACGAGGAGGATGATGATGAAGAGGAGAAGCTGATAGACCTCCTACCCTGACACGTCGATTATTAGCGAATTGGCCGTTTTCGGTTCGCGAGAGGGCGTCGCGGCCGTGATTCTTGCGGGTCCAGGTCCGTCGGCTTCGGTCCTGGGCCGTTTTCACTACATGGAGCTTTACCGAAGGGAGGCTTGTCCACCGCCGAACAGCCAAGACGGTGAAATAAGGACCGCTTTGGGATACAGTGGGGGCGCGCATCAAGAAACCATATGATGTTCGTCAGGGCATCCTGGGTTGCTTCGCTCCGCGAGCTGCGCGGTGACTCCCTGCGGCCGTTGCAGAAGCTGCTGCGTTCATGGTGCTCCGGGTTTCCCCTCAGGTGCATCTCGCGCGCGGGTTTTCGGGGTTGGGTTTCTTGCGAGGCTTTCTTGCGGCCGTGCACGCACTGCACGTGTTTCTCTGAGAGGAATGGGAACCTATCGGAGCTGGAGGGCGAGGTGTCCAGGGTGCGCGGCAACGGGGGTGCCGCTGGACGTCGCAACCGGCGCACGCCCATCTGGTGCGCCTGCCCGGCAATGCTGCCGTTTTTTTTGTATCGAGCGTTGGCCATCGAAGAGCACAGTACAATGCTGAGTCCCTCTGCAGTTGTGGAAGTCGATTCGTGGAGAGGAAGCGTGCTGCCAAATAATTTCCAGGTGTCTAAACACATATTTCAAATATGTCTTGAATGTGTAAAAACATGTTTGAAACATTTCTAGACCATGTTTTGCATAGTTTAACGCATGTTTAATTCAATGATAGGATTGTTAGAGTGTCCATTGTCGTGGCATCCACAACTCTACAGGAGGAATATTCAAGAGTAGTCAAACAACAGTATGGGGACCTTGTGTTTGAGCATGTTGGTTGTATGTTTGAGCATGTTCAGGGTATTTCTAACCTTTCGTCCAGGATCCCGCTGTAGGGGGACGTGCCCGACCGAAGTTTACAGTTAGTCCTTCTGAGAGGATAGTCGTGGAGCTCTTGCGAAGCCTCGGCCGGTCGACACGAGTCGACACCCTGGGCAAGGGGACGTGCCCGCCAGCCACCCCCGCGAAGCTCGTCGGCTCAGGTGTGGCTTTTCTTGCAGTGCGTTTTCTTGTACCTGCGAACTTCGCTTGTACGGGAGCGTGTATATTTCAGGCGATCGCAAGCATGGATTAGGGGAGCGTGGATTAGCGACGGGTCCCGTTTCCATAGGACATCGCGGATTTCTGTCGCAGGACGAGGCGGCACCGGCCGCATTTTGGGGAGGGCACCTCCCCCGATCCACGGATTTGGCGACCGCGCGCCGAATTCATGGATCGCTGATCCGTGTTTGCGCGCCCCCGGCGACTGCACGGGAGCGTGTGTATTCGAGCTTCTGCTTCTGCCACTCTTGTCCGAATGCCAGCGGCGAGTTCCGCCCTCGCGCCAGAGTGCAGGCCTCTGTGTGGCGATCCTTCAAAAGAACCGCCCGGAAGAGCGGAGCATGGGCGCAACTCGCGACGCTGGGTTCCGCGGGGTCGTAACGCAGTACATGCTCTTCCGACCGTCGTCTGCAGTTCCC